CTGTAGCTTAGGGTCAAAACCCACCCTCTGTACAGCATCTGTACGGGCCAGGAAGAAGTTGACCACTCCACTGGCCAAAAAGCATTGTGGGTAACCAGGAACTGAATGTAATTTCTTATTAGACTTCCTGTATAAGCAGCCACCTTCAGTTTCTTCTCCTTCTTCATAGATAAGAGAGAAATAAAACTGATTCTCTTTTACTGACCCACCAACCTAAAAAGAAGAGAAACCGAAGAGCGAGCTATAAATATTGTCATGAACAGAGATGGGCAGTAACATGTTACTCCAATCCAATTACTTTTTTTCAAGTAATGAGTAAAGTAAGGGATTACTATTGCAAAAAAAGTCATTAACACGTTATTGCGTTACTAAACTGTGATTTTGTTTGTGAGAGTGTCTCATGACAATGACGTAAGAGCGTGCATGTCCGTGGAAGCAACAGACGTGTGCAGATTAACAATGAACAATATGGAGTGCGGGAGAGAGTACGACCATGCAGCGTTTAAAGTGTGGAAGTACTGACATTACTTTGAGTTTGATTCTGTAAAAAGTGACAAAATCATTAGCGTCCGCTGTTACGCGAAGAAAAGTTCTTTCTAAAGAGAAAAATTTTACTTCAAATCTGAGCAAACACTGAGCACACTGCCACAGGAATGTGACATTCACAGAGAAATCCCCGGACCACCCCACTGACATGACTGCTGCGACAACGGGCAAACCCTCAACCAGCCCCACTCCTGCTAAACAGGTTAAAAAAGATTTAAGGACTCAGTGCTGCTGAGTCTTTGATTTTATTTATTTTCTGCTTTGTTTTACTTGTATATTAAAGAGATTAGAGATGAAAGATTAAAATATGATGGATTGTGCAGAAAAAATAGAATTGGGCTGAAAGGTCTATTGCTTTATATTCAGGTTGTGTATCACGCTTTTAAAAACTAACTAAGTAACTAATTACTTTTGAAAATAGTAATTAGTAAAGTAATGGGATTACTTTCTTGGAGTAGTAATCAGTAGTAACTAATTACTATTTTCAAGTAACTTGGCCAACACTGGTCATGAATGCCAAACAGATAATCGTGACTTCTTTTTCTGTTTTTTTTTTTTAAATCAAAACCAAGTCTTTATCGCAAACTAGTTTATGAGGTGGCTAACCTTTTGTACTGTAGTTGATTTAATAAAATGGTCTTCAACTAAGCTTGGTCCTAACTGTGTCTAACTTTTGCTTGTTATTGGTTGTAACTCTGAATAACAAGAAAAAAAAATCTGAT